GGAACCAATTATAGCTTTTTTTTCGTTATTAGATTAAAAAAATTTCAATGATCGCCCCATTAAGATATTAAAATATACGGAGATATATTTGTGGACCTTTTGTGATAATATCACCGACTTAGTTAGAATTATGTAAGTCATGAGATATCCTTATGCCAATATCACAAACTTAGGGGATTGCTTAAGTCGTGAAGCACTCTTATACTAATGTCACGGACTTAGTTGGGATCGTTTAAGTCGTAAGATACTCTTATGTTATCTGTTTACAAAAGGTTTGTCTAGTTACAACTTAGCTCAAGTCCTAATAAACTTGTAAAAAAAATAAATTGATTAGTTCCAAAGCGAGTTATAAATAAGTCTCAACATCATGCAAAGAGAGTAACTTTATAAGTAATTCAACGAACACTTAGTGTGCACGAGACAAAAAAGAGAATGAATAAAACAAAGATTTTGAAAGATAAACGAATAATCGTAAATCCGTAAACGACTACTCATCAGGTGTCGGGCATAATAGCAAGTTCCCGTAAACTTAATATGCAAACATATGAAATATAATCAATGGCCAATGCTATCTCAAACCTTCATCTAGCTCGGTGCCACTTAGAGAGTTCTAGAGTGCTGAAATGCTTAGCGTAAAAGACAGGCTATATAGTACATTGAAACTGAATCATTTTGGGATAGTATATTTATTCTAGTGATTGATTTCTCGACGATAAACTGAGGTGTCTTCTCGTATTAGTACTGATGGATGTGTATTAGTATGGCCCACTTGAAAGATGAGGAATGGACGGTAGGTTGCCACGTAGGTTTGAGCAGCAGAAAATATATTTCTAAGAAATAGTTGTTTAGATTCTTGGCGACATGTGGATCGTGACATAAAGGATGACAGCATGAGATGCATCCATCAACACACAAAGTGAGAACCATTCCATGAATTAGTGGGCGTGGGTTCTCTGATTGGTGTGCTGAGAAGCAGGTTCGAGGTGAGGAGGAGCATGAGTTACGATCATCGATCCTTCTTCTCCACCATGATTGAGTTCGTTCATGTGTGACGAGAGAAACAACAACGATTAATATTCATTCCATCGATGTGGACATGTAGCATTCTCATGGCCATCCCCATTGAAGTCACGCGAGTTTCCAGACAAAGGGTGGGGCCGAATGAGCTTTGGTAGTGCCTATATGCACCTTCGACGGCTTGTATTGTCTCATCCATAGCCAAATCCTTCAACCTTCCTTGTTGTAATCGATAGCAACCACAATGAATTTAACCCTTATGTTTACTTAATTTGATTAAAAATATTATTTATCATGAATTTAGTTTAAATCGTATGACGTACCAACTCAAGTTGTAATCTTTTGCTTTACTAAATTTACTACGTGGACTCTCAAACAAAAATAATTAGTGAACGAAGTAAGATACAATCGATTATGAAGATGCAAAATAGATGAAACACCTAACTAACTCGGTCCGGATTTAATATAACTATACATAATAAATCATCAGGCCATGCAAATAATAAACAATATAAAGAAACATGAAATCATAGAATAAGAAATTTCTTTGAATGGGGACAATCAACAAGCATTTGTTTAGTGGAGACTTTAGTGGGACCAAAAACGCATTGCTTTTGCTAGTGGATATGCCAAAAAAAAAAAAAAAGACAACAGCCCCCCAATGGGCATCCCACACATGCAATCTACTACTAACAAAACCTTCAAAAGAAGAAGGAATAGTTGCAATAACTTTAAGATATGGAGGATTGAAACATGTGTCGAAAGGTGCCAACACAACTCACTTAGAACTAAGTTTGCGAGTGCCTAACCTGCTCGCCTCGTGTAAGGCGGCATGAATGGTAGAGTTGGGACCAACTAATTCGTTGACCATTCCCACCTTCACCACGTCGAGCCACCATTGCATTAGTAGTCGCATAACCAATAATGAACTCGCATGGTTCCACATTCCTAGAAAACCAAGTTTAAGCATCATTCGTATTGATTGCAGTTAATTTAGCATCTTTTGACACCTTTTATGTTTGTGCTCCTTCTGATACACCTTTTAATTTTCTTTTAGTGAAATCACAAATCATATCGTACAAGACAATCAATTGTTATAAAGCATTAAATAATTTTGTTACAATAATTATTATATATTTTACTACTTGTTATAATAATTTGTTGGAACCTTAGCAAGTTTAGGCCTAGAACCTTAGTTAATAAACAAACACTTAAATATTTTATTCAAAAACAACATAGTTTGCTCACTCGGCATTATCGTCCAACAAAATATTCTTCAAGTACAAAATATTTAAGTTCAAATTAATAATAATACATCTATCAGTTCAGTTATTCTTAGTCTTCACTTACTTCTAGTATACAATTAAATTTGAGTGTTATATTATAGTCCTCCAATTCCTCTATAATATCGGAATACTCCTATGAGTTTTTTTTTTTTCTTTCTCATGAGGTTTCATAAAATACTCTTATTGTTTTGATCCCTTCCAATTTCGGTAGCCTCATCTTTAGAAGTGCAGACTTATGTACATTGAGTACATCAAAATAAACTATTACTTCATACAATTTAAGTATCTCATTGAATTGATGGTTGTACCTCTTCCAAAATTTCAAGAGATGCATGGTTAAAGTTGGCAAAACTTCATGTCAATAAATCCCGCAATCATATTATTCAACTGAAGGGCAGACTTGTCACACTTAATCATGGAACAATATCTGTATTAGAATATCATTTCGATAATTAAAGTCAATGCTCCTGAACTTGATATTCTTTATGTTAGTCTCCACCTTAAGAGGACTAGGGACAAAATACAAAGAACTAATTGTTACAATTCGCAATGGTGACAATCCAATCTCGATCTCTATCACAAGATTATTGAACATAAAGAATTATAAATAAATAAAAGGATGAAGGGATAGTGATCATTTGTTTACCAACCAATGCTACATGATTTTTTTTGGTCGATACAAAAAATAATGATAATATGCTATCCTAGTTAATCTCTAGTAATCGATCAATATTATGAGAAATATAGACATATTGTTGACAAATATTTCAGGCCATTCTCTCACTTGTGTTTAAACCCTACTATCAATTATTCTACCATCAAACTAATCACATATCAAGGTTGGTTGATAGACTCTACTGTCTCTCATCATGTCACATCGGATTCACAAAATATATCTTTATACAAGGATTACGTCTCATCATGTCACATCGGATTCACAAAATATATCTTTATACAAGGATTACGAAGGATAGATCTAGTCAACTCTTTTCCTCATCTACAACCTTCAATCTTTTAAATATTCTTTGTGTTCCTCAAGAAAAATTAATTTTTACATCTCATTTTTGTAAGATATATTAAACATCTATTGACTCGTAGGAAGCGCACCTCTACTACGAGCATAAAAGAAGGGTAACATATATGAATGTGTAAGGTTGGCGAGCAATATTGCATCTCTTCTACAAGACTAATAGGTATCACCATCTTGCATATCCCTCTTCAATGATTATTATCTTATTTGTTCACACTTGTTATTTTTATTTACCAAAATAGTTTATATAACATTTTGATTTAGTACCCCATCAAAATGAGCTAAGACTTAAAATAATAAAGATCTATTAGGTCTATTATTATTAATTTTAATTAAATAATTTGGACTAGTGGTTTAACTTAAAAGTTAGTTATCTCGTCAAGTTTGATCGTAAATATTTGTATAAGAGTCGATCTAGCATTAAAGTATGATGAGAAGCTCAAGTAGCAAAAGGATTAATTATACACGAGGCTAAATACATGAAACTGCTATTGAACTATATCTAACATGTATCATACTAGAGTTTGATTTTGGACAATATTGACTAGAGTTATGAGATCGTCAAATTTTTTTAAATGTGAATAATGTATCTTTTCATCGAACACTCTGAAAAAGTCTCTATCCAATAATCATTCAAATTTATTGATGCAATACATCCCTTTTACTTTTGTCATTCAAATTTATTGATGCAATACATCCCTTTTACGTTTGCCAATATATAGACCGAAGAAAACAATATATCCTTTTTACGTTTGCCAATATATAGACCGAAGAAAAACCCAGAGAGCGTTGTAAAATAATCTCAAATAGCATCTTATATCCTTTAGTTTTACTAGCTCCAAGTTTATTACATCATTATTTATTTATCATCATGAGAACTATATGATATCATTATCATAGATGGTAATACACTCAATTTTTACAGTAGCTCTCACACGAAGTTCTCTAGAAAATATTAGGGTGATCTTCGTTATTATTTCTTAGATATTGGGAGGATTCTAACATTGAAAAAGATTTTTCTTTCCCGAGATGAATACATCAGTCTTACGTTATATGATGCAAAACAAGTGCAAACTCCACAATCTATTTTTTAATATCCCTTAAAAAGATGGATCTTCTTATGTGATTGGAGTCTTACAATATTTGTCATCTCTTACATACATGACCAAATATTTTATTTTCTATTAATAAAATAAAATCCTATAGATACATTGGGATGCTATGAAACGATTGCTACCGTACTTAAAGAACACTCTATAATATTATGGATTACATATTCATCGTAACTAATCTCTCCATTTGTGTGCCTTTTCCAATGTATATTGGGATGATTTTAACTTCGACCACAGCCTCCGTTGTATACATCGGTGGAAATTGTATTTCTTAGTATTCTAAAAAACACACAACCGTAATACGATCGATCGTGAAGCAAAATATCAAACTGTCATTAAACTTTCAAGGATCACATCTTTTCTGTATAAATTGCTTATTTTGCTAAAATCTTCATCACCGGTCATTTATTTTGACAACATTGGTAGTCAGTTTTTCATTCTCCTTTGTGTTAAAAAAAATGATAACAAAAGCTGATGTAATTTATTAATAAAAGTTGTGACAAGAAAAAGCTACTGATAGCCCACAAGTTTGCAGAACAAATGTAGACTCAATCATATTCCAAAAAAAAATCCTCATTTCAAGTGATAAAAAGTTAATATAAATGTTACGTGATGTTCATAACCAAAATAAAATGTTCATAACTCACCAGGAAATTTTTTTTCAGATATAGCTGTGTCAAGAATTGCATATATGTTTTAGCTTCAGGCAAAATAGGTCGTACATGTTTTACCTGCACGATAAGCCTCCACATATGGCACATCCAAATGCAATTTGTCAACAGGAACTCCATTGCGAGCCAGTAGCACGTCCAAGGACTCCAATGCAGCAGCATATTTGGGTTAAAAGCTATCATAATTTTGCTAAAGGCTAGGAAACATCTTCAACTCTAACATAAGAGTTAAAATTCCTCAGGAAATACAGTTTGTAAAATTGAAAAAACAAGCAAAATAATATTGATAACAGTAGTAATGCAGGAAAGTGGTTCATATTACCTAGTGATTGAGCCATCGTCTGACAATATATTAGCGACTGCAATTTTTGTCTCTCGTTTTTCATCATCACCAGATTCTGTCTTGCTCAGGGTGGCAACGTCTAATCGAATAGGAACCTTCTGAGAAGGTAATTCACCAATGAAAAGTACATTCTGTGCCCAACCGGCATATTCCCCAAATTTGGCCACAAATGCCTCAGACACACATCTGTAGAGCTTCGGAGTCAGCCGTGTGCCTGCAAGCTCTGGCATAAGATATCGGGTTGCAATCTGCATACACACACCAATAAAGAGCATTTGCATATCAGTCACTGGGTGACAAGTGAAGCAACACAAATCAACTTCACGTGAATTAAGTGTCAAGACCACATCAATTACACACAAGAAAGAAGAAAATAGAATGAACATATGCATTAATTCAAAAGCCAGTTGTGCATAAAAAGAATATTATTAATAAGATCAACCATGTAGAAAATCACCCAATTATGATAAGAAAAATATAAAATCTCGATAACAAGAAACCTTAATTATCCATTTTCAACCACTAGTCAATGTAGACATTTAGATTACATGGCAATGTTTAGAAACTTGTTCTTTCAACATCAAAAGAATTTAAAACCCTTTTATTTTTGACCTAGAAACATGGTGCCCTAATCATTTCAGAATTATTCTACCAAATATAAAGCAGATATGCCTCTTGATTATTAGCACAAAACTACTCTGGTAGGAGTATGATTCGTTATTTACAGCTGTACTCTAAACTTCACATACAATTAATTAGAATAATACATCTACTATACAGACAAAAAAAAATGTCATTTTTGACATGCCACAAGCAAAATATCTTGTGCTCTTTCCACAACACTGCAATAAGAGGCCCTGATATCTAGATTATGCTCCATTGAGTTGTGATCATGGTTTAAGATAACAGTCAGACACCATATACCATCTGGTATTGCCAGTATGACAAAGCACCAGCGATGGAACCATCAGCGAGTACCAGACTGATTTGACCTGTTGCCATAGATTGGTACCATACTATGACCTGTTACCATCAACTACTTTTTATTATTTTCTTTAGTGACATAGGATGGTACAAAGCAGTCTATGACTGTGTATTCTAGCACCATACTGATTTGATCTGTTGCCAAAACCAATGTCATACTGGTATTTAGCATTGTTCTTGTACTCATGCCAACATTTTACATTAGTTGTTGCTCGTTTCATTTAAGGCTTTCCGGAAAGCCTTTAATAACCATATGAAGAATAAAAAAGCACAGAAAAGTTACCTGCCAAACATGAGTATCGACAGGGATGGCATGGTGCTGATCAAGGGAGAAAAGAGCAATGCAAGCAGCGACCTTAGGTCCCACCCCTGGTAGAGTGCAAAGTGCATCGATCACCTCATCAAGCTTCAACCCACGAAGAGAGGCAAGCCACTCTGCACCTCCACCAGGCTTTGCTTGCAGAGCTCTAACTGCACCAACAATGTATTTTGCCCTGCTTGCATGTTACGTAAACCTTACTTAAAGTATGCAGAAATTAACCAATTAAACAATCCAGAGCACTGTTGATTTCCATCAACCAAGGAAAAGAGAGTAGAAAAGGAAGAAAATAGGAAAACAAAGAATGTAGAGGAATTAAGAGAGATATTACCCAAAATAGGGTCATTCATTTTAAGAAATAAAAACTGCAAATGATGACCCTTGATGACTTCAACTATTTATTTCAATATCTTACTATGTATAAAATTACAATAAAAGCCGTCAAGATAAACTATATAACTGGTTAATTCTCCCCTCCAGCTTGCAGAAAATCAACAATTTTCAACTCGGAACACAACAGCAAAAAGGTAATTTTGCATAAAGATTTTGTGAACAGGTCATTCAATCAAAGTTACAGAATTAACATATGGAGTAAAAATCAACTTCTACATCACTGCAGATGTCAGTGTACTTGACATGATTCATACTCTCATAAAATCCAAGATTAACTGCAACGTAAATTGCTCCTTGATTGTTTCATACAGGTTTGTGGGTTTATTAGTTCAATAACCAAGTTCCTAGATCAATAAATTTAATAAACTTCAACAGAAGTATCTATTCTGCATTGTTTTGAACAAAATCTATGTACTTCACTTTTGTTTGAAGAAGCATTCCATTTGCTATATTTTTTTTCTGTTAATAATTCTATACATCATATTCACTTTAGTTTGCCATGAAGTCATAATCAGAATAACCCACATAAAGTGTCCATCGGATCCAATAGTTCATCCCTAGCAAATAACAAGCATCACTTCAACACCATAACACAGGTAACACAGGAAAATGGATGATCCCAGAACACATACAAATCATATAATAACAACTATCCTAATAAAAAATCATAAAGCATGCATCTAGATTGGATTCTAATGCACTGCAGCAAAATATTATTGTCATGTTATAAGATAACTCAGAACAGTAATTAGTTGAAAGCTCATTATACAATCCATGGTCATTCTAATATAGGAAGGTAAATGACAATAATAAATGTCAAACCCTTGAAAACTTCTTAACTAGGGGTACTATAAGAATCCACTGTATAATATAAAAAATAAAAAACAAAAACTAGAATAGCACTCAACATTTGAGTCTATAGAGATGACTTTCCTTCTCTACGCCATTCAAATTTATTATTCAGTAGGACCAACTGATAATCCAAGCTCAATAAGAATCTTTGATATTTTAACTTGAGCACCAGATCAGCTGGTATTCCTCCTCATTTCAAGCTGATTCACTCACACCAAAGTAGTAGCTTAATCAAGAGTATAGTCTCATCGAAAACATATACATCAAATACCATCTAAAAGAATACAACCATTCCTCCCCATAAAGAAAAGCACTTAATCTGCATAGATCCTGTATTCCAAAAAAAACAAAGAAAAAAAAAAAATGCTGCCGACTACCATGAACCCTACTCAACAACTCATCAGAACCCCTCCAGCATGCGGAAATAATTGTTGACATAGTCAAATTCTTTTCCAGAACAATTACATGATCCAAATAAAAATATGTTTCTTTTAATTCCCAACTTTCTACCATAATGCTACCAAGAAACAAAATGAGCAGTCACTTCTCTTCGTGATCTTCTTCTTCCTACATCTAAATCCTGTGAGGAATCGCAGACAAAAAAATGAACATTCACCCATTCTCAGTATGTTTCACATGAATCATGCTCTATAAATCAATAACTATACAACTGCACGCACTGTCACATTGATGATGGAAGCAAGATAAAAGCAAACCTGTAACCAAAGCCAGCCTCTCGCAGCTGCTGCTCTGTGACAAGAGATAACCTCTCAAGCGACGGGAACTCATGAAATTCGAACCCTCCGACCGTCCCGAGATATTCCCCAAACGACGACAGCACGCCGACCATCTTCTCAATCCGCCCGATGTTGTTATTAGAGGAGCAGAGGAACTGGAAAACACACTCCACGGGTTCCTGCCGGAGGACACGGGCGCCGCCGTCGAACTGGCCGGCTAGCTCGGCGAAGCGTGGATCGGCGCCGGAGAAGCGGCTCCAGAGGTCGGCGAGGGACACGCCGAGGTTGAGGTAGTCGGCGAGGGCGTCTCGCACGGCGGCGCTTCTGCCGCCGTCCGAATTGTGGAGCATGAAGGCGACGCGGCCAGAGGGATCGCCCTCGAGGTGTCGGAGGGAGAGGAGGTAGGGCCCCACAACGCCGGTGAAGCGGGAGGGGTCGGTGCGGCGCCACCGGAAGGTCTGGCCAGTGGGGAAGGTGAGGGAGAGGGATAGCTCGGAGCGGGAGACAGGGAGGAGCTCCCATTCTCCAGAAGCAGCATCGGCCAAAGGGGCGGAGAGGGATCGCTGGGGCTTGAGACGGGGAGCAGTCGAGCCATGCTTCCGTTTCGTCGGCGGGGACGGCGATGGAGAAGAAGGAAGAGGGGTGGAGGGAGGCTGCAGCGGAGGCTTGACCCTCCGCCTCTTGCTCATGTTTCCGGCGAGAGGAGACGGGGGTTTGGGGGCGGCGAGGGTGGCCAATAATGGCTGGAAAGGTTTCATTTCCAACCAAAGCCTAAGCGATCATCCGCGGTAACATTTCCAAAGAAGGTAAACCCCACACCATATACAAAATACAGGCGAAAAGGATCGTTAGACATCTACATTGATGCATACACAAAACGATACTGCAGTTACCGAGCAATGTCATGCTTCTGTCGATAACATTAGGAAAAATAAAATTAAATATTTCTCTATCATAACTATAAATTTTTTAAATCTAAAAATAAAATGCTAAAGAGGTCGGATAATAATTAGCTCAAAGAAAATGATAATACATTATACGGTTGAATTAGTCAAATGACAAGGGAGTGGTGGTGATTGAAGCTACTGATCCAAAAGCTGACCATGGCCAGACCAACTGCGTGATCTCATAACACAGCATTACCTGCTCCTGGTAGATTAAGAAGATAAAAAATGTTCACAAGTTTGTACAGATAAGTTGTACTATGATTAATCCTGGAACACATAGGATGGTTAATGATATCTTAAATTACATTAGTGAGACTTATAAAAGAAAGGGTAGCAGCTTTACTATTGGTTTGTACTCTATCTTGAAAACATTATTCAATTCGACGCACTTAGGCCTTTAAACCACTTATGCAACAATCTCCAGCCGAGAGTCCCTGTGCTTCACCCCTTTCTTCCTTGTTCCCCGCCTTGTGGGACGCTTAAGGTGGAAAATCCAATCTCGTTACCGAAGGTTTGGCTTGTTGAATGAGTTCCCGAAACAGTGCCTCTATCATCGACTATCTTTTGAGTAAAGAAGGGAAACAACAAACAAAAGATATGATTTTCGTTGTTCCATATTAACTTAACCACTGAGAAGAGTATTGACCCTTTTTATATATAGCCCACAAAGTCCATAAGACCAACTTTACATTGCCAACTTAGTCCATATTACAACTTAATATTGCCAACTAAACAATTGAGTTGGATGGAAGCCCTGCAACTCAGAGGACACTAATTTTGTTGCTATAATTAGGCAGCATGTGCCACTTACCTTAAATAGGATGCATCTGCCACTTTAAATTAGTCAGCTCTCATGCAAAATAAGGGCTACAATCCTCTGCAGTTTTTTTTGTTCTGTTCGAGAAGCAGCAGTTCTAAATAATTAGGCATCGTAGATATACAACAAGTTGTAAAGCATCATCCTTCTAAGATACAACATTGCTGACAAACATCTACACTAAAGAGAACAAACTATACATGAAGAGACTGATCTGCCAAAAAAATTATCATATTCAGACTCGTGGCAGTTATATATAACTATAGTTACTATTTAAGACTGGGATGAGCTGCAGAACTCATATTGTGCCGAAACAGACTGGACTGCCTCCATTGTGAAATAGATAAAGATGCAAGATCCTTGAAAGTCTAGACACATCCTACATGTAAGGATCAAGAGTTTAGTAAAAGAAAAGGCACAAGGCCAGAAGTTAAATTGATATAAACATACAAAATAAAACTTCTTAATGGCTGATGGGGAAAGCATGTTATCAGATTAACTCAAACAAAAAGAACAAAGTTCAATGCATTGTGGTCAGTGGTTAAAATTGAAACAACAACAAAGCTTGTGACCTAAATAAGCTATATATGCTCATTGGCAACACTTCATACTGTAGAATTAAATAAGGTAGTTGTCAACACACGTAAGCGTGATAAAAACTTTGCTAAAGCATTGTTTAAATTAAAACTGTCAAAAGCCAGCCATACAACCCAATTAAATAACATACAACAGGCTTTCTTTTCCTTGTAATTGTTTGGGAGACTCATTCACATGCAATTCTTACAATGTATTTTTCTAAAATAGAGTCATGCCAGCAAAAAAGCCACTTACTAAATAATGAATTTTAAACAATTTGAAAACCTAGAATCCATTTGCCACTGGACAGAATTACCTCAACCAACACATTTAGTGATCATGACAAATATACTTGAATGCCGGGTTTGACGTACCGAAACATACCGCTCAGTACGGACAATACATACTGATCCAACAAAGGACCAATATGGATGGTACATCGGTATACTCCAGTATACCATGCATCAGTACAGCTCGTTATATATTGTACCGATAGCTAGTCGATACACCGGTATGGACCGGTAATGCGAACTATGCTTGAATGTTAGAACATTTATGTTTGGTGAGTTCATGTAAATTTAAGCTCATTATATTCTTAACATGGATTCTTAAAATATTTTCCTAAATGACCTACACCTTAATCAACCGACAATTGTGTACTTCCAAACATGATCCTAGATATCATATAGTCAACCAACCTTTGTAGGTAGCCAAAATTGATCACTGATTCAAGAAATCTAACAGAAAAATAAACAAATTGACTAAATAAAGGTAAAATTTTTAGCTGAGAAAAACCATCAAGATCAGGAAAATTATCCTAAACCAACATGATCCAGCCCTAGTTCGCATCACTCAATTGAGACCTAACCAAAGAACAGAAACCAAACACTGCAGGAACTGAACTGCATCAGGTTAGGCAGAGAAAGGGAGAGTGCAGGAACCAATGGGTATGAAGCATTTAAGAAGAGTCGAGGAATCAGGATACATTGGCCATTATGTGGTCATAAACAACTCCAATTCAATGGGCAGCCTGGTTGAATGGTTTCAATTTCTCTAATACTTCTTCATAACAACGCAACCACAAGCCAACCTCAGGTCATCTCAGTAGATTACCCTTGGCCATAAAAACTTGTCAATACAAATTACATGGAGGGAGGCCATAAAATGATAGAATGACTATAAATATTCCTTAAATTCTATAACAAAAAATGCATGCCATAGAACAAAGGACCTATCTGAACCTTCAGCAATGACTACAGAATTTGTTCTATTCCATGTTGTTTGGAAGCATCTCTGCCAAATGGGAGTTTTCTTTTAAGTAGCATATTGCCACCTATGAGACTCAAAGAGAGAAAACGATAACGAAGAAACTAAAACCATTAGCAGACACAGGAAGATAACAACTGACCATGTCTGGGGTTAACATAGCACTCAAATATGAGTTGTGGAAGAAAAAATAAATGTTGTTATTCCACCGAAATGCACTAATAAAGACCTAGAGCTCTTCAACTATGATGCTCAAAAGCAAAATAACTTGCCTAATTTATACAATATCAATACTAAAACACTTAATAGTAATTAATTTAAATTAGAACTCATATAACCACTACCTAGTTGCCCAAAGAGAGCCAAGATTAATCTAAATATAATTAAAAAATTAAACACCCCAGGTTGGAGTAGGTTTAATACAACTTAATTTCCATTTCTTTCAGAGGCTATTTCTGCAAGTAGCCATCCTCAAGCTGGGTTATATCACTCCAGAACAAGTACTTGGAATCCTGTTATAGCTCTGTTGGAGGCAAGCAAGGACTGTGATAACCTTGTACCACCTCCGAAGTCACCTAACCAAGAGATTTGAGGCAGGAGAAGACCAGAGAAGCCTTGGGCTAAACTCATTTGGAATGATAGGGGATGCTTTGTAGCACATGCCATTCCTTTTGTCAATGCCTCCATTTGTTCAACTCTGCCCTGCTTACTTGTCAGTAAACTTACTTGTATGGATATGATCACAACTACATTATAGTTCTTATGGCCCCTCACTTTGTTTCAATGTGAACAGTACAATAACTACAATGAGAAAAAATAATTGCCAAGCTTTTATATTGCGTGTAAACTAATTCAGTTGCAAATCTAATATCACCAGGAAAGCTGTTATAGTTATTAGGAAATTGCATATTGGTCTATCCTAGATTTATTAGATCTATCAGAAGGTTATTATGCTTAAGCTTGAAATCCTACAAAAGCTACCAACAGCATTCTCATATTTGTCTTCTTTAGTCTTAAGTTAGTTGTAGTAAGCATTATAGTATTGAGCACAGAACAGGATATTGACAGAAAAAGTTGAGAATATCTGGGATACTAACCTTGGGAAGAAAGAAAAATAACTTGATTTCTGCAGACTTCACCTTCTATTGAACCCGCTTTGTCACCTACAATTAAGAGCAGAACAAATTAAAAGTTAAAGCAGGTACTGGCTGAAGACTGACCTAACAAGCGCTTACTTTCAGAAATGTAAACATATAGAAAAGGCCAAAATTGATATAAAGCACAATTACGGGATATACTTGGAAGCTACAAACAGACAAGGATTACTTTGCAAATCAAACTATCTAACATCAAAAAGGAAAACACTGAAATGGACACCAAAAGCTATCTAATAGCTCCACTATTGCACTGCAAGGGATTGCACTATGCCAGTACCTTCTCTTGGCATATCTTTGATAATGCTCCAACATGAAAACTCTGTAGTTCTTCAAGCGTTCTGTTATCTAAGCCAATGAGATCTTCACCCTGAGATAGAGGATGTAGTATCATTATAACCCTTACATAGACTGAATTTATTTTATATACATTATTCAGCCATGCAATTTCTTATTTTCATTGCTGTAGACATCACCAGACTGCATCCAGTATGAGTAAAAGTAACAGCTTTCATTAAAGAATGACCAAAACTAGGAACATGTAGAGATGTAACAGGAAGGCAAAATTGCAAACCTTTAATCTAGAAATAATTCCTTCTAATTCCTTAGACCTTCTTGTTTCAAGTTCGTAAGCAGCTCTTGTATCTTCCAAGATACTTACGCCATCTGTGTTCACATTTCCAGGTAACTTATCTCTCATGAACTTTACACAACTATTACCATTAGAAAGAAGAACACCACTTTGTTTAGATTGAAAGTCATATTCATTCAGACTTTCGGTTAAGGTTTCCGCTGAATTCACACCATTTTTCTTAATTTTTGCAACAAGCACCCACATATTTGCAAGCTCATTCTCTAATTCCTGTTCATGTTGTTTTGCCTCATTGATTCTTCTTTGTAGCTCTGCCTCTCTTTGATCTTTTTCAGATAATGCAGCAGCTAAAGATGCTTCTCGTTGACGTCTTGTTGCAAGCTCTTTCTGCAACTCCTCAAAAAGGGCTCCATTATCTGGCCTTTTCAAATAAGTATCCGCTCTTATATTATAATGGTCTTGCTTTCCATCACACTGATTATATCTCTGGCAATTAGATCTCCCAATTGACAGTTCTTTCATTGTGGCTAAGTCGCCCGTCAATTTTGCATTTTGGTAAGAAAGTTTAGTAACTTCTTCAGCTAAATTTCTAAGCTCAACAGCGGCAGCTGCAGCCAATTCTTTGGCATAAGAAGCTTCCTCTGCTAGCTTTTGACTATGAATTTCAAGTCCATCTTTTTCTTCAGCTAATATAACCTTTTCTTGCTTCAAATTCTCAATCTCAGCAGCCTAAATGTTCAAAAGAAACATAAAACATCATTATAGTAATATTATCAATTGGTACTTCATGAAGCTATAGAATGGTGATTAACCCAGGAGATTTTTGCTTAAAACATATTACGAAGTGTTAAGAGAGAACCTGCATGAGAACTTGTGACTTCAGGGACAATTCACTATGGCACCCCTTAGAGACATCATCCAAGTCATTAGCAAAGCAGTTGGAATTTGAGACTTTATTGTTGTCAGCAGAAGTCTCACTGGACGTGATTGGTCCATCTGACAGTACACCATTTTCCGCAGATGCTTCAGCTAGACAAGTTCTACTAAGGCTATCCTCTCTTTTACTGCATTTGTCCATCAAAGAAGAAATCTGCTTCCGCAGCGATGAAATGGTTTCACGAAGTTCAGTATTTTCAGATATCTGTTGATTTTTTTTCCCCAAAAACATTGTCAGAATGGTGCATCTTATTCCTGAATGAAAACTAGAATTACAATGCCATCATCCAATTTCACCTTCATCTGCAGCTGCTCTTGAAGAACTCTGTTATCCGCAGACATGATCTATATGGAGGAAACCACAAGAAAATAAACAATATTCCCATGACTGACAAAACAAACATGTTAGGAAAAGTAAACGGCAAAACTACACTAAACCTCAAGTTCAAATGTCTTCTCGCTTAACTGAGTTGTTAGTTTTGACAGTGTCTGCAGAAATATGAAGTTTGCTCATCAGATATTATAGAAAGAAATCACACAATGACAGCAATAACAGAGCAAATACTAAATTTGTATCACTTTGCAGAATAGAAATACAAGCAGATACTTAGACATATGAGTCACCATGGTTAGCCATAGCTGCAAAACCAGAAATAGCTGGCTTTTCAAATGTAAAAGAACCAATCCAGAAGTAGTAACCTGATTACAGTATTTGCTTAGGCTAAGCAGGCACCATTATTTTATTAGTTATTTAAATTCTAATTTTAGAGCTCTTGGAAGTATTCAACAAGGGTGGAAGCTTGGAACATTTCATAAGTTTCAGATATCATTACTATGTGAATTACCTGGGAGATCTCATTGTTGTTTGATGGATGTTGGCCCACTTCTAAAGAACCAACCATCCGTTGCTCAAGAACATGCATCTGCTGCTTTTTCTCATTGATTTCATTCTTCAGCTTCTGCATTTGCTCCTACAAGAACACAAAATGAATCATATAAACAACCATCACAAGTATCAGCAAATTTATTTTGTAGCATGTATACCTGGATTTGGATGTCTTCAGGATCGTTAGCTGCTTGCTCTGATAACCGTTTAAGAGAGCTTGTACAGAGTGCTACTTCCCCAGCTAACATTTTGACTTGCTCATTGAGTAGATCCATTTGATCAATGATAGTTGTTCCTGTCTGCAAGGCATTCAGTATTTTATCTCATGAATGATTATAGCAGTAAAATAGTGAAGAATGACTAGAAGTTCAACCAGCAAAATTTTCAGAAAAACACATTCAATAGTCTAGATCTTTGTTAAAAAATGGGAGTATCAGAATGTGATATATCAACTATCTCTACCTATTTATGATTAATATAACATAGAAAGGTTATTATACAATAACGAACTCAACAAATAAACAATCTAAAAATTTAAAGGAAATTAGATTTATTAAAAATATGAATTTTCAGCCATCCTTGAGTACATAAGCAAAGACTCAGGTCATGAAAGGAGACAAAATGATAAAGATTTTTTAAAGTGAACATAAATTCTTTATCTGAATAAAAAATCACTTAGAAAGAAGGCAACATGGATAAGATGAGGACAATGCTATGCATCATTAAGGTACAAAATTCTGAGTTCTTGGAATATGAAACTGCAGTTGATGAGGCAGATATACACAAGTCACACAAGAAATGCCATATAAGTTATCTTTAATGAAATTAGCTTAAGACTCATCACAAAATGGAGATTCCTAGAAAAAATTGTGTTATTTCAGTTATAAAAAGATGATCATGTAAGTTCAGAAATAGATCAAGTTATGATGAGCATACAAGTTATTAACAAAGTGAAAATATTCACCGTGCATGTGGCTTGCTCTTAATAAAATCCATAGGAATAATGAACAATATATAACATTGTATGAAAAGAACACATTAAAAAAAAACATAATGAAAAAAGAAAAAAAAAACATACAAGGAATACATTGCCTAAACTATCATAAGTATTCTGAGAAAAATCTGAACTTTAAATGATAGTAGGAAACTAAAGTAACTAGATGCAGTTCCTTGATTACCTTCCATGTAATTTTTTGCTATTTTTAAGAAAAAAGGTGTTCACATTTATCCCTTGTCTCTGCTCTTTCATTAGGGCTTTGGAACAAACAATTCTGGCTGAAAAATAATGGGAAAAAAAGATATGCATGAGAGTTTAAACTAGACTAACAGAACCAGTGACTGCTAAATTGAAGCCTTCTCTTAGTCGATGAGATATGTGGCTTATATCCATCAGGTACTATGCACAAGTCCAAAGTCTTATCCCACCAAATTTGCAGTTTTCTTGTTCTACATCTTTCCTTTGATTCTTATTGAGCTCAGGCTGTTCTTGTTTGTACAGTATTGTATAGATTTCTTGCAAACCTGAGCATCCTACAAATAGAATACCCCAGGAAATTGGAGCTTTAGGAGTTGGAAGCATGCTTTTGATTGCTTCAGGTGCCTCAGTATTATAATAATATATAGATGATGATATAACTATTTTCTACGCCATAATTGGTGGGAAGCTGTTGGGAAGGGTAAAATTTTCACCACACCAAGGGTTGGACAGTAATGCAAAGGGCATTTGACCACAGCAAAGGAGTAAATATTGACAAAGTGGTTACACAGAATTTCTATTGGACTGCATAATATCCATGGATATCTATTTAGTTTTTTAAGCATGTCTCACCGGTGGAAGCCGACGACCTTTAACTGTGACACCAAATAAGTCGCCTGCTTGGGTTCTTTCTGCAAAGGAGTCAACTATTGGCGAAGGATCATCCCCCTTTCTACTAATAGATCTTCTTCGCCCATCCTTCTGATCAAACAACTGCTGCTTCTGCTGTGAGGACTGTGAAGAGGATGGTGACCCACCAACAGAATTCTCACTCTCAGCACTAGGCGAAAGTCCAGAAAGTTGTTCTGGCTTCTGCATCAGAGACAAATTACAGTCATGGATACTAGCTTTCTACATGTTTAAGAATAAAAATCATGAATCAAGTTCTTTGGTGAGGAATCTAGACAACATGAAACACATTAATATTTGCTAATCCACATTGTGCAGCATAACACATACAAATATGAAACAAGTGACTAGGAGAGTGTCATTCAAGGTTGAACCACAAAAAGGAGATGATTGCTTACCCTTAACTTGAACCATCCAAGCATTCCACTCTTCTTACTCCTTTTGTCAAACCTCAATGGTTCATCTAGACTGCTACTGTCTAATCTTCCTTCTGCAGAAAGCTCTGAGTCAAGCGTACCATCCTCATCATCAATCAAGTATTCCCGCTTCCTATCGGGCAAATAGGCTAGCTGCAATAACAACAAAATTTGAAAGAAATAAGGATAATAAGAGACCAACACAGTATTTGTAACTATATTTAAACACGGGATTTAGATATTGTTACAAATAGATCAGAAATCATCAAAATCAAAATAATTCCAGCAAATTACCATATTTTAACAGTGGAAGCTAGTATGTCTGAGAAGTAGGTTAGGAAGAATTATCATTGAAACCATTCAATCTGACCAACTATGTTGAACCAGTTAAAACTACTCTCAACTGAACATTTAATGTCCAAAAATATGTTTCACATCACGCTTGCAAACACTTCATATATTCCATGCACCCCATACACACATTAGCACTAATAAAGGAAAGCATAGCGAAAAATAGTTTAAATAAGTATATTAGAAAAAGGAAATTGTTGAAGAGGAACAACCTCATCTTCTCCGAAGGAGTGTCTACGTCTATGCCCACCCTTCTCAGAAATATTTGATGATAAACTATTCTTGGTGGATACCAAGATAAGTTTTGTCAGCCGTTGAATCCTACCCATTAAGGCTGCTTTTGCTTCCTCCTCTTCCTCCAGCCTTGATTGCAACTTGACTTGGCCAGCTTCCAGCTTTAACAAGACAAATAAAATGACTTTAGCATGTAAGTTTAAAAGCATAAAGTAACACAGGATCAGGTGGCATAAGTATGAAAACCTGTTATCAGTTACTTGATATATAGAAAAATAGTGATTCTCAAGTTAAAAACTTGAGAAATATAAGGATACATAATTATGTATCGATGCATACATACTTTCTACTCGAACTTAAGATCCTGCACCTTGGCAACAAATAAATCCACAGAAGAAAAAGCTGGTGGAAAGGCAATGGTCATGTTTAATGAAACCCCAAGATCTCTTATTTATCTTTCCCATATTTAGTTGTACTTTAGGGTGATAACAAGGTCATACAAATCAGAATATGACAAAATAGAAGTCAGCTAATCAGAAAAGACATACCATCATCTAAATGTTGCCCTCACGCACCATCAATTACATATGTCATCATCTAACCATCACCACTTCCATTTACTCACTTGTTCTCACTGGTGTCACTGCCCACTCGCTCTCACCATTGTCCAGCTTTAATAGGGATATGGGAAAAGGGTACTATATAGTATAAAGTATATATATAGAATATAAAATATATATTACATGATTATACTTAAAGTTAAATAAAATATATAAGTATATAGTATATCCTTATGTAGTGAATATTTACATAAAATTATAACTATTAAGTAAAATATATTAAGATATTTCATAATATTTTCTATTTTTTATATTTTATGATTTTCTGCTTTCTTTTTGGAATTATAAATTGCTTTTGACTCAATTCCATGGCCACCAATTCGCCCTATCAATCTCAATCCCATCGCTGATGACCAATGCAAATCCTCACTCTGTTCTCGCAAACTACAACTAAAACCAGAATTTAAATGAACACAGAAATTGAGATGTAAAATTCACCAACAAAAAGAAAACAAGATATTAGAGTCTGTTCATTAGGTAAAAGGGCAGATAAATGTGTTGGCTGCAAAATGTGAAAACAAAGCAAGAAGTAGAAGAAACAGCATCTCAGAAGGAAATTGCAATAAGAGAAAAGGGGAAAGATAAAGAAAGAAAAAAAGAATGAACTAATTCTGTCGAATCCCAGTTCCCAAGTCTATATTTCCATGGATAATGAATACCTATTTTTCTACTGGCGAGTCTTTTTCCCAACTTAAAGACTGGAACTCCATCTCTGTGACAAATAAATTTAATTTGGACCCTTCTATGACATAGATCTTGCAGTTACACGTAAAAAAGATAAGTAAAAGACAATGGCCATCAACAACAGCAACAGAGAATTTGCTGCTGTTGTCGCTGTTGTTGTAATAAACATAACCAAGTAGCAACACCTTGTTGACATGTTAGATAGCTTGAAATTGATCTGTTACTGCAATAACCTGATAGGATACGAGCATAACGGGAACACACCACACCATAGTACACCGCAACAAAAATGTAAAGCATAGTGTACATTGAATTTCTAATATCAGAGTAAGTACTTACAGGATGTGTCATTTATATTGTGAAACTAAAAACACTAACCTGAAGTTTCAAATTAACAAGATCTTCTTGGTTGGAAGCAATCATATATGGGTTTTCCATCATGCCACGTTTTAGTTGCTGCAGCTCTTGTTTTAGACACGAAATCTCCTTTTGATATTTCTTTATAAGGGACTTCTCATCCATTATCTACGATAGCATATTAATCATCTCCGGTCACCATGGACAATGCATTAACAGACACAAGTATCCAACAAAATTATTAAAATAAGAACTCGATTTACCTTATTCTGAGAAGCTTTGATTTCCACATGTTTGCTACGATGTGCAAACTTCAGTGTATTATGTGTCTCTTCACTATTGCTAGAAGCAGGTGTGACTGTGCAGATAAGCTACCAAAAGTACAAAAAATGAGACAAGAAAACACAAATAAGAGACATGTTCACTGAACATAAAAAGAACGATATATTAAAAGTTTAAAACTATTCTGTAGGAAAAATAATAACTCACAGAAATCCGACCATGTCCGCTAAGAGAAGACTGCAGTAAGCGGGTAAGTTTGGAATCTCTATAAGGAATATGTGTAGCCTTACCATCTGTTAATTTTGATATAACCTGGGGAGATAAACATCAATCTTAGAGGGCAACAATAGCCAACTCGACAATAGGTTCTAAGAAATAGAAACAGTTAGAAGATAAAGCATACAATTACAAGCATAAAATGCAAAATTGTAAATCAACATGATGAAATATTAACAGTCTCAAAAGTGTGTTTACAAAATGAAAAAGCAAATACTAGGACAACTTTGTGATGTGTGCATAAAAAAGTTTAATTGTTTTTTATGATATCTACGTATCTTATTTCATGGTCATTATAGAAAAGATTACAGATTTCATCTTGTTTGCCTCAAAAAACATGCTCACCATACGCTGGAGACAGATAGCAAAAATAAAATAAAATAGAGGGAATAGTAAACCGTTGAAAAGGCTTACTTTCAAACAAACAGGGCATGCAAACACAAGGCTTTAAGTACGTTTATTATTTTTTAATGGTTCGGACCAGACTGCCCAAAACGAGGATGGTACACATACCAATTCACAGTCGGACCACTCATTTCGTTCTGGACCGAGCTAAACGCTAAACATTGCCCTCAAGAAAAGTAAAATACTTTTGATTGATCTGATGCTCATCAAATTCGAATCTATGTCAAATGTCTCAACTTGCACAAATTGTATGCGATTAGTTAATTCTATCATAAGCAATCGCACTTATACTAGGACAAAATTCTAAATTCACATGACATTCAAAGGATGTTTGTATCAGTGCATATTTCACTTCATATTTTATTCGTTTGAAAAATCTCTATTGTCATGACTAAAATAAAGATGCCATCCTGCAGAGAGGCTAGATCTTTTATGTCATATACCCCATTAAACTCTTTAAGAGGCAATAACCTTAGTTAAATTGTGCACATTTTAATCTTTCTTTATAATTTCTAAAATGGTCTTCTAAATGCCACTAACACTAGTCGCCTCACCTCTTCTAACTACAGCATCTACAAGTCTCCGTAGCACATTTACATTTCATCTTAAACAATTCTACCCCATCTTATCCTCTATCGAAGCTACATCTTATTATTCACGAAGACATGAGGATAACTTAGTTCTACTTATTTGATAGTCTTTCTAGAAGTAAAATAAATCTTAGATATCAACTCATATTGATCCTCTTTAGGACCAGTATGATATGTTGATTGAGTACGGTATACCTGGTAATACCACTAAAAATAGTAATGAAGCACCAACTGAAGTGTCAACATACCTCAACACAAAAAGGTATTGTTGCATATTGTAAAGTGAACTCAGTATATCCCAAGCTGAAGGAAACAACAATAGGGCATTCAAAGAAAAACCCCAAAGAGACACCAGCTGTGAAGTTGTTCATCATGGTTTACTTTATACAAGCCAATTTTACTGCCCACCAAGACTACTACTAAACTTGACAGTCTGGTTTCTCTAGCTTGCCTCCATAATATCTTGCTTGAAATAAGATTCAGTTTTGATGTGTTTGCCTCAGAAAAATCAAATTATTGATAACAGATATTAAAGCTTCATCTTCAAAATGAAGTTCAAACCAGTCATAGGTACTGAGTATAGCAAAGTGAGTATTAAAAACGATTCAGGGGAACAGTTGCTTACAGTCCCAAGAGTAAGTAAACTCTTGTTAATGTATGAACCTTCTTTACGTCGTAAACCAGTTGTTTCAGTCTTAGAACTTTCCGATCCAGCAAGGTCAATCAAGTTCTGAAGAGGATTTTCAATTTTTTAAATGCTAAATCGAAATCATTAAAGTATCTAATGGGTAAAATCTAAATGTTACTTGTCAAAAGAAATTATTTGTAATAATAAACTTACCAACTGAGACAATCTCACATCTTCACCATCTTCATTTTCACCAGTCGGACTGCTCTCAATTGTCTGCAGGCTTACATATATAAGGTTATATATATGAAAACATAAAGCAACATTTAAATACTCCTTTTCTATCAGATACATGAAAAATTAAAACCAAAAGCTGCATTCAATTTCATCATAAAGCAGTGGTTAATTCATCATAATCATCTATGGAAGATTAGAAGCATGGCAAAGAAGACTCAAAGAATCTAAAAATAGGAATGTAACCTAAGAGAGACTTCATGATAATGCAAGGAAGTTCAACATGCATATACTACTAAAAAAAATCATGCTTTAAGGATTGGCAAATTTGTAAAAATCAGAATAATTTTAAAAGACACGAGCTAAAATAGTTAAAATTATAAAAAGATACAAGGCTTATGATAATTTTTTATGATAAGTTAGGAACTAACTATGATAGAAATGATATATTTTGAATTGTTAAAACTAGGAAAAGAACGGATAAGAATTTATGCAATAATAGATAGATGAAAATAAAAATAATAGATAGATGAGAATAAAAATATACTTGTCAACTAAAAGGAGATTAAAGAAAGATAGAGAAATTATTTTTATCAATTATTTAATAAATATTTATTAAAGATAGAAAATAGTGACAGGTTTAGCAATCAGAGAATTTCATAAAATTAAAAGAAACTAAGAAAAAAATATTTTAAAAAATACAAAAAGAGCATGGAACCTAATGGTATTCCTATTATGGTATGAAAGAGTTTAGAAGATCAAAGGAAAGTTTGATTGATTAATTTATTTAAAAAAATTTTGAGAATTAGAAAGATGTCTGATGAATGCAGAAAATGTACCAATTTATTATACTAAGGCATATATCAAAACTGTGTAATAATAGAGGTAATGAGACAATGCATGAGAAACCGTAGGAAAGAGTGATTAAAAGTAGAATAAGATGTGAAACAAATATCTCAGAAAACTTAACATATATGAAATTGTAGGAAGAGTGATTAAAAGTAGAATAAGATGTCAAACAAATATTTCAAAGAACTGAGCATAAAGTCCATAGAGATTTATGATAGTATCTAGTGAGATTTTTGTTATTATAGGATTAATCAAGGATCAGATTTAGAGTCTTACCTTTTTCACATTTATAGATGGACTTAGTTATATACAGACCTCCATGGTGCATTTTATATCTTGACGATGTTATCATAGTTGGTGGGTGTCTAATAGAACTAATTATAAATTTGAGTTACGAAGACAAACGTTAGAAACTAGAGGATTAGTTTAAGTAGGACTAAGTCTGAACATATAGGATGTAATTTTAGTAATACTAAAAGAAGAGAGGTAATTATGCAGAATAGACAAAAAAAAATTAATAGATAGAAAGTCTAGGTGTCTTTGGTCAATTATTTACAAGAGATTAATGAAAATATTGTCCATAGAGGGTAAACTAAATTGTCAAAGCCAAAAGGGATGGCACAAATTTAGTAAGATCACTGATGTCTTTTAGATTAAAAAAATTTCAAAGACATTTGTCAGGCCAATAATGTTATATGGATCTTAATGTTGAAACAACATATATAAAAAATTTGTATTGATGAGATAAGAATAACGAAGTGAATGTGTGAAGTTAACAAAGAATCTACAAAAAGAACTGAACAATTAAACATAACTCTAATAGAGAATAATATGAAAAGGTATATGTTAAAGAGACAGATAGATATCGTAGTTACAAGAGATGAAAAATTAATACTAAGTGATGTGAGGAATGGATGAGGAAGACATAAAAAATTTCATTGGAAATTATAAATAAAAAATTAAATATTTTTATTGAATAAAGAATATTAATATGCACAAAGCCCTATAGTGGAATATATATATATATATATATATATATATATATATATATATATATATACTACTAACT